AAGCCCTTCTCTTCTATGGGAGCAGTGCTTAACCCCTCCCCTTGGACAGCCCACAGCAGCCACTGGCCCAAGAGGAGCCAGGGAGAAAACATTGCCAGGGCAGTGGACTGCCTTATCTGCAGCAAACAAATTGCTATTTTTTCCCTATTTTTTTCCCAATATGCAATGCCAGGAACCTCTCAAGACTGCCCAAATTCTAGCCTGTGTTTCAAACAGTGAATTCCCAGCTTGATTTCTGCCACCCCAGCTGTGACACTGCTGCCTTTGGGCAGCACCTCCTGTGACGCCCGGATGGATCCTTGCGGGGCTGGCAGGGAGCAGCCCTCTTGTCTTCCCCCACAATGCATTCCTTAGCAAAATCCAGTCAGCTCCTGGAACAAAGAGGGCTTGTCTCAGGCTGGCAAGGCTCAGATCAAGTGTTTACTCTGCTTGCTCAGAGTGCTGCTCTCAGACCAACGCTGCCCGGGACCTCCAAGGGAAAGTGAAGCAGCAGAAATCCAAAAACCTTTGGATTTCTGAGCCTGATCTGGGGATATCAGCACCCAGAATTTGGGGTAGAAGGTTTGGCTTGGGCAAACAGAGTCATGGAATCACTGAGGTTGGAAAAGACACACCATTGTGTGGAGGCACAGGGCCCTCGCATGAACACAGCTCGGTTTTCATCGCATCTCATGCAACAAAGCCCTGCTTGAATCCAGGCTGAGCCACAGAAGGTGGCAACTAATGCCAAATGCTTCCAAAACATCTCAACATTTCTAGTCAGCCACTGGGAGGAAACAGAGAATCCACATCTCTGAAATGATGAGAAAAATAGAGGGGAAACCAAAGTGACAGTCGTTCAGACTTGGCGGGCTCTTTAGAACAGCAGCAGTACAATTAATGTCTACATCACACCCTGTGACTAATCCACTTATTTCAGAAAAAAACAAGAGAGAAAATTTACTTGAATGAGTACCAGGTGATTCAGGGCAAAAGAGGTGCTCCAAGAGTTATTCTAGGAAATGGAAAGAGCTCTCACTCCAGTGACACAGCCAGGTCACTGATGAGTTTCCTCAGCCAGGAGAGGTTTCATTAAAATAGAGTTCTTGTGTCCTGAGTCTGAGAGAGAAGATCTCCTAATATTCACAAGCTGCTGTGTGAATTTTAGTGTCTCCTTAGGTTCTGCCATCTAGATAAAAATAGACAAAAAAATGTAAAAATACCACAGGGAGATTCTGGTGCAATCCTGTTAAAAAAGCTTCATTGTGGCTTGGTGAGTCTGATGGAGTTAACTAAGAAAATAAAATTATCTGTTGAGTGAAATGATCTCCAGAGTATATTCCTTTAGTTATGTAATTGGAATTTGGTGCAAGCAGTGGGGCTTGGGCATTAAAGGACCCCATGGCCAGAACTGGGAGCAGAAGGTTGTGCTCAGCTGCTGAATTCAGCTTGATGTCAATGGATGCCTGTGGCATTCCATGGGAAAGCATGGGGAGGAAAGTAATGAAAACCAGAAAAATGGTGGTTCTTACCCATACCCTGCAAACCCTAATTGGGTTCTGAAATCTCAATCTACATGAAGATTTGTTATTAACAAATAAAAAATTGAATCTACTTGCTGGCTATGAGATGCAGAAACAAAACCATGTTTATTTATACTCAGTTATAAATATTTTTGTGGCAGGTTCCTGGGAAGGAGGGCTACAGAGCTGAATGATCTGCTTCATTCTCCAAAATTAGAATAGAAGGATAAACAGGACAGGAAATCCAGCATACAAATAAGCAAACAAGGACTTTGTTTCTGAGCTTTGCTTCAACCCCAGTTCTGGCCAAATAGGTGGCTTGGTACCACTGGGAACAGCATGAAGTCAGGAACCCACAGACCCCATACAATTATTTACTAAAAAATACACATGCATTTTAAATCAAATTACTTTTGATCCCTTCTCTTCCCATTAAAGAAACCTTGAGGAGAATTTCTCAGGGATGTGCAGTTTTCAGTTTTGTCAGAGTTCTGAGCACTTTCAGCTCTTTGCTCGTTCCCCTCTCCCAGTGGGATGGGGAAGACAATTGGGGAAAAATAAAAAATAAAATAAAATAAAATAAAATCTAAAATAAAATAAAATTAAATTAAATATCTTGAGCCCCTCCAGCCTCCTCACTGGCAGGGGAGGATGAGGAGCTGACAAATCCTTGACTGAGTGTGAGAGTTGCTCAGAACCATCAGTGTGTTCTCAACATTATTCTCATCCTAAATCCAAACAAGGCACTGTACCAGCTGATAGGTAGAAAATTCACTACCCCAGCCAGAAGCAGTGCAGGGTGTGATTCTGTCATTGGGTTGACACTTCTAAGGGATTTTCTCATGGTGCTGCAAAAAAAAAATATTTATTATTGGTGCTGAGATGATGAGTTGAGTGCTGAGTGAACAAGGACATGGTTGAGTCGAGACAGACACACCAGGAGGAAATAAAATCACCCAATACCAAAATCAGACAGCTGTTCAAAGGAAAAAGCTGCCAAGTGATGGTTGGTGTGTCTTGTCTGAGGGCAGAGCAGGTGACAAAAATAAGCAGCACCCAGAAAGTTCATTTAAAAGAGCAAGAGAAGTGTCCTTCACGTGCTCCTGTTCTTGACACCCTTGTGTTTGCAGGCACTGGGAGATTGGCATAACTGATCCCCTACAAACCAAACAAAAAACCAAAACAAAAGGCCAAATAAACAATTTTAGCTTACATTTTGGCTTTAATTCCTTGTATTTTTTAACTAGGACATGAAAGGCAAGAAATCCCAGGTCTTGCTTTTCATGTTTTCATGCATCAGTGATAAATGTTTATGTGGCATTTGTCTGTTTGCATTTCCAGCATATTTCAGTCTGATTTTTAAATGTGCACAAGACGTTCTGAAAGGCTGGGTAATTCCTGAGAAGCCAAACTCCTCACAACTGCAAAACATACAGCCATGGAGGAGAAAACAAATTAAATAGTTTTGTGATCAGCAATCAAAAGTAATAAAAATTGAACAAAACTCTTCCTTCTGGAAAGCAGATATGAAATGTCTTTCACCTCTTGAACATTTGGGTGAGAGCTGAAAAGCCTCCTGGCTGGGATTCAATCTCTTGGATGACACTTGTGGGTTTGCCTGGTTTAGGGTGTGTGTAAATGGAAGGCTAAAAATTGATATAACAAGCCTTTAGAATAGATTGTGTATTTCAGCCTTAAAAGATTGCAAACAACATATCTTTAACAGCTCAGTGTATTTTGAATTTGGATTTATTCAATCTAGAGAAGCTAAAACTTAATGGAAAAGATATTAATCAATGCTCAATATAATTAGAATATTGTAGAGCCACAAATTGCTCTGTGGTAAGATCAATTTTTACGGTTCCTTTCCAGACATGATCCATCTCACCAAATTAAATCTTCCTTCCTTTCAATAAACCTTGAAATATTTCTTGATGCCTTGCTCACGTTTTCACTCCAGCTCACAATATTTTGAGGCATTAGATAAATGGTTTTAGAATTATGTGAGAGGAGAATTAAAGAGGAGAAAAATGATAAAGTAATTGTGCTAAACAACTTGTGGCATGAAAGTTGAAATTGTTTCTTAATCCTTTAAGAGGTGTTAGGATTGCAAAGCTGTTCTAAGGCATTGTAGCAGAATTTATTGAAGATAAAGATATCACAGCTTCCCACAAATGGCAGATATGAGTCTGTCATCAGTGAGGCATTTTGGTGGCTCATAAAATGTAAGGTTTGCCCTGCATTCATCCAGTGAGTGATGCTGACCTTTGCTCTGGCATTTTGCCATGTGAAAGCAGCTCCTTCAGTGCCAGCCTGGCAGGAAAACCATCAAGAACAGAAACAACACCTGCCAGGAGGGTGACAGCACCAACCACTGGTGTGAGGGAATTGTTAGCAGCAGGGGTAAGATATTGACATATTTATAATTATAATATTTATATCATTATATTCAATAAAATTACATATTTAATACACTTTATATTATCTAATATTTATAATATTTATAATTATATTTTGATATATTAAAGTAATTTTTAGATTAAGATATCTAGAAGTTCCCTGTGTAGTGTTTCAGAAGCACGGGCTCAGACCATCACTTGGAATTTTTAATCAAACAGACCACACTCTTCAACACAGTAAAACATTTGTATTTCAAGCACAGAGATATTAATTTGAGAGACAAAATAGATTTATTGCTATGTAAATATTACCTCCTTTGATTATAAATTACACTGCTCACAGAACAGATTATTTTAGCTTGGAAATTTCTGCATTTTATAAATATGCACAGACCCATCATTGTTTCAATGAGAAATATAGCACTAAAAGCAATACTCAGAGTAATTAGAATATTGTATAGCCACAATTCTGGTTGCTAGAAGAGCCCAGCCCTATGAGTGAAATTTCTGGGGTTTGATCTCAGCATATTGAAGGTCAAGGCACAAAGAGCTCCAGTTTTAAAGGGGTGGCTCCCAGGTCAAATTCAGAAATATGCAAACTCACAGATTCTCTGCTTTCAACTATTTGGACAGGCTTCATATTAGCAAGGATGACAACTCAACTAAACAAACTTCATAAGCAGAGCACAACTGAGGGAATGAAATATTTCTCAAGAAGTCTGGGAGTTTGCTCCCAGCTGGCTGTCATAGAATCATGGGATCGTTTAGCTTAGAAAAGTCCTTTAAGGTTATCGAGTCCTACCACTAAACTAGCACAGATAGGCCCACCAAGAAACCATATCCCCAAATCCACAATCAGACCGGAGCTAACTAGCACAATTCAAGGAGTTTTAGCACTAAAAAGGATTACAGGGAACTCTCCTGTGGGACAGCCAGGGAAGTTACACTTTTTAAAATGTGGGTGAAAGCAGAAGCTTGCAAGGTGCGGATCTCTCCCTTTTTATGGCAAAGTTGGCAAAAGCAGATTTCAGTGAGACATGACAGAGCTGTGGCTTTCCTTGGAGCCCGTTGGTCACCCTGGAGCAAACGTGAGAGAAATTTATTCATCTTTTCCAGTGCTTCCACTGGGAGCATCCCCTCCTCGGAGCTGAAGGGGCCCAACCACCACATCCACGTGCTCCTCAGCGGGGCTGGCGTCCCTCTTGGACCTGGAGCTGCAGCTCCTGTAGCAGTGGGAGGAGTAGTCCCCGAGCCTGCAGACCAGCATCTGGCACTTGAGGTACACCGACGGGTGCCGGCTCATGAACTTGAAGGCGTTAAACTTGAACCGAGCAAAGTGGCTGGAAGGGGAGTAGTACGTTGCATAGGAAGAATCTCTAGGACACCTAGAAAGGAGCAAAAGAAGGGGATTAGTCCCTTCACAGATGCGTACATGCGCGTTCCTGCAAAATTAAAATTGAAATTATTCTATTTATTATGATAAATTCCCGCGAAATTCAGATTAAAACTGAATTGTGTCATAGTCTGGTACTAGGAAAGCAGTGGGGTAAAAATGTAACCTTCATAGCACAGTATGGACTTTAAAAATATAGAAATATATAAAATATAAAATAAAATATTAAAAATGTATTTTAAAGTACTATGAAACAGTTGCTGGAGGGTTGGCAACTCTTCTTCTTTTTCTAAGAGAAGGACACTTTAAGTGACGAAGAGGGAACAACAGACTGTTATTAATGTCAGTGTTATACAAGGCATAAAAAATCACTCTAATGCTTGACCTGGTTTTACTAAAATAGTTAACTCTTAGGATGACAATTCCTACTGTCAGTTTTCACTGTGTCATCTACTTTTCTCCCACTACTTCAAATTTTGTTCACAGGACAAAGAAGGAGTAAGTGCAATGAAAGTAAGGTCTAAATATAATTTCTTATTTCCAAGCTCATACTGCAAAAATAAAAAAATCAAAGACCACTTTTCACAGTCTGCTGATAGCGAGTTCTAACTCCACTCAGATTATCTGTATCATTTAAAGTAAATGTGGGTGGCGGGTGTGCTTCTAGCCTTGAAGAAAGCCCTTACCCATTCCTGACTAAGTAATAGGCCAGCGTGTTAAAATCACGGGGGTCAGGTGCTGCCACACACGTGTCCACAACCACCTTCAGGTTTGGGTCTGGGCTGTGCAGACAGGCTTGCAGGTAGAGGTTTTGGTTGAGGTCGATGTAGTAGGGAGATGCGCGCACTTGCCGCCGGAACGCCGGGGACTCGTAGAAGGTGATGTTCATGTTGTATCTCCCAAACTGGTACTCGTCCACATCCACGGTGTCCTCAGCAGCGTACACCACCTGCTGCCAGCTCTTCCTCAGCATTTTGCAGCTGACGTGCAAGTTGATGTTCTTCTTCCTCTTGATTATGTACCCGGAAGATGCGACCCTGATGGTGTTGGAGTAGTTGATTGTGTCGTTGTTCTCCTGTTTAACGATGCAATTTAAAATCAGGAACTGTGCTTTTGTCATGTGTCACTGTCATATTTCCTGAAAAATCCCTTCGCCAGGATTTCTTCTCCTGGGAAGATGAGAAGCCTCAGCTTCTCCTGTGTTTGCTCCTCTGGAATGTGGTCTGGAGGTTGTTTATCCAAACATGTGAATTGTTTTTACTTAATGACCAAACACCATCAGCTGTGTCGGACTCTGAGGAGTCAGTCATGAGTTTTTATTATTCTTTCTTGTTAAGCTTTCTGTCTGTATCCTTCTCTTACTTTAGTATAGTTTTAGTATAGCATAATATCATCATATCGTATCATATCATTAATATAAGGTAATGTAATGTAATATCATATCATATCATATCATATCATATCATAAAATAAAATAATAAATCAGCCTTCTGAGAACATGGAGTCAGATTCCTCATTTCTCACCTCATCCTGGGGACTTCACAACACCACAGTCATGTTCCATCTAAATTTTGCCAAGCTTTGATACGTTTTGAGTGGCCAAAACAGGGAGTTTACCTCTTGCATTGTCCCACAGCCATTGTAGGGGATGTTGAATACAACCTCCTGGGAGGTGACTGTCGGTCTGCAGCGATTGTCATTCAGGGTGACCCTCCGTGCTGAGTATCCCTGGGACTGGAGGTAGTCTCTGCTGACCACTACGTGCATGTAGTCTGGCAAGCACTGAATGGCTGGTAGAAGAGGAAGGTACAATGTATTTGTGACTTTAGGTATTTGGTAATGATTAGAGGCAGGTTTTTTTCTGAATTTAGAAGTCAGGGGGTTCCCACCCCAACCCACTCTATTACACACACGTCATTCAATTTCCACAATTCAATTTCCAACAATCCAACAAGATATTTATTCTGCCAACAAAAACAATAAATAGGCTTGTCTGTTGGGAAACACTGGCCAGGAACTTACTGGTGTTGTGACCTGCTGGAATGGAGGAGTAGTGAGCCTGAAAGCCTCTGAAGGAGGATCTGGAATCGCTGTGGAAGCGAACACTCATCATGTTTGAAGAGGACACGTATGTGGGAAAGGAGCCAGAACAGAATCTCCCAAGAAGAGGGGAAGAGTGGAGAGGTCCATCATAGACTTCAATGTAGTCGTGCTGGCACGTCCTGCTTTGCATCCTGGTAGAAAAACATCAGCACTTTGTCAAATCCATTTCAGAAACTCTGATTTCACTGCCTAACATGTGATAAAATCTTTCAGCATTTAAAGTTTTCTCAGCACAAATTTAATTTGTCTTTTATGCAGCTTTAGCAGAAAATGGTGAGTAAAAAATGCAACATCAATCCAGATTTTGATCTGGTATTCAAACTGTGGATGTCATTGGAAGTATCTTTAAAATTAGGAAGGTTGGTGGTTTCAAATAGGATCTCAAACTTGTCAAGTAAGTTTTGACTTTGATATTTGCCCAGGGAATCAAGGTTTTACTTACACAATATCTCTAAATGTGAGAGTTACACGGAAATTGTTCTCCACTTGTATTTCCCACACGCAGTCAGCGTCGTTTGGATAATTTCCAGGGTAGTTGGGACTCTGCAGCACCCCAGAGGGATCTGAGACTGAGCCACCACAAAAATGAGGTGCTGCAGAAAGAAAGGGGACAGAATTTACTTACAGTAACCTCTGCAAAAGTGTACTTGAGCTGTACGTGCCTCACCCATAGTTATTGAAAAGCAGGTCCCCTGCTGACTGCAGGTGGTAGACTATAGGAGCTGAGTCAAAACTAATATTTGTTTTTGCTTTAGGTTTGCTTGCATGTTAGATTTGGAATTCACTCAGGGGTGGATTTTCATCCATGGTGTCGGACTACCCTCTTCAGGCTGGGCTGGTAACACCTGGATGCTTTCTGCCCCTTTTTAGAGTTGAGGTCAATTCTGGGAGGTGTCATGACAGTTGAAATGGAAGCACCTTCCTCAACAGACAGCCTCTCATCAGTTACTCTGCTGCTTCTCTTTATTCCCCTAAGGTCTTTGGAGGGTAAATAAGTTGCAAGTTTTCTAGAAAAAAAGCAATTTTCTGGTCTCAGACTGAAATAAGCCCTTCAGGCTGCGGTAAAAAGTCCTAAGTACAAACATAGCTGCAAAAAGCTTTAGTGTTCCTGCCAGCATGAATGACATAATTCTTGTCACAGGTAATCCTAAAAGTGTCTTTGTAGGAAGGTGAGCACAGCCTCTGAATATAAATGCTACAAGATGTGACATTTAAAGATGAAATCCATTTTATATTCTGCTTGAAAAAGATCACTCACACTTGCAGCGATATTGTCATAGAGACAAAAGACAAATTTACAGAAATATGCAACAGGGAGACAGACAGATCAGAAATAAGCAAGGTGAGAAGAGCAACAGCAGAGCATTACCTGGTGGAGGTGTTGAGGTGGCCACTGGAGCTGTGGGTGTGAAGGAAGAAGAGAGACATGTGAGAACTGCAATTCATGAGAAAGGAGCTGGGGCCTGGACATGGCCTCACCTTGAGGCACAGAGTGATAAAATGGGGATCACAGGGAGTCAGGGAAGCAGAAACAGGAGATGAGGCACAGAGGGCCATGAGCTCCAAGGGAGACCCAGTTGCAAGCACTGCAAATGACCATATTCTAGTTTCTTCTGATCATATCCCAAAACCCAGAGTATATCTAGAAAACAGCTCTGGTACAAACAATACAGGAATTGAAGGGATGAAGGCAGATGGATCCCTGGGCGTGATACTCATGGATGCAGTAAGAGGAAATCCCTCTGCGGACTTTCAATAAACCAGCAATGGCTGCAAAGTTCCTGGACTCAAAGCACAGCTCTGTCCCATTTGCCAGCTCTTCCCCATGCTCTGTTTGCATCCTAGCTTACTTTGGGGTGGCCTAACAGGAGAGGCCCAGGGCTGGGAGAGGCCCAGTACTGCCTGCAGTGCAATGAGCTCTGGCAAGGGAGATGAGGAGCAGTGGGGAGGGCAGTGAGTGAGAGTGGACAGGGTTACCTTCTGTGCTGCTCCTTGCTGTGCTAGCCACTGTGCTTGTGGTGGTCAGCAGTGCTGGGCTGGACACCTCAGATGTGGCAGAGGCTGGTGCTGTGGTGGTCATTTCCAGAGGCGTGGGTGTCTCTGTAAGTTGGGGAGGTGATGAGTTCAATGGCAATGGCCATGAAAAGCAGAGCTGGAGGCCTAATGCCAGGAGAGAGGGTGGAGCTCTTCCCTTCCTTTCCCCCATCCTGGCACCAGCCTGACCTGTCCCCAGTCCTGCCCCATCCTCGATAAAGAACAACCCCTCAATCCACAGCTTTGCCCCATCAGTGGATGCCAACAGCAGGAGTTGTGGAGATGCTGCTGTTCCCTGTCTGTGCAAGAATGGGGATTTTGGATGGCATGGGCTTGAGTCTCAGGCAGCAGAAGAGCCCAGCCTCACCTCTGCCCTGGCCTGACCCCAAACGCTGTTAGAATGAAATGCCAAAGAGCCAGAGTTCCCTGCTGGCCACTGACCTGCACAGATGACACTGGCATCCTCCACGTGGCCGCAGTTGTGCACGCCCCAGCCGTTGTGCCGGCACATCTGCAGGGAGGGCTCGTCCCCGCGGCACTGCACGTCGTCCAGGAAGATGCGGCCGGAGCCCGGGCCAAAGCGAGCGTTGCGTGGGGCATCCATGGCCTGGCCACAGCCCAGCTGCTGGCACAGCACCTGGGCATCCCTCATGTCCCACTGGTCGTCACACACCGTGCCCCACGTGCTGCCGTCGTACAGCTCCACGCGGCCCTCGCAGCCGTTCCTGCCGCCCGACAGCCGCACGCTGGGCCCTGACACACGGCACGAGGCATTGGTTTGAGTCCCTCCAACCCAGCATCCACAGTCCCAACTACCTCCCCTACTGTTTGGAGATTTTGCCTCTGTGACTTTGATCTGGGGTGTTGCAGGTCTAGGGAGATCAGGGAAGGGCAGTGACTGTGCTAACAACACTGGCACACAGATGGCAGATGTGGCCTCCTCTGGCCTTGTTGCCAGTGTCCTGATTGCCATCCCTGGGCACAGAGATGTTCAAGAGCCTGGCTCATGTGCAGAACAGCCCTTTGCTAGCCGTGCATGTGGCCCATTCACTGTGGGGGACATTCATGCACCCTGGAGTTGTCAGGGGAATAGGGGAATAGCAGCATTTCACCCACCAGTATCAGCCCTGTTGGACACCCCTCTTCACTTATTGTGCCAAGTTGGGACCGGCTTTAAAAGCAGGCCTAGGCTGGGAGAGCTGGACTTACCTGTTGTGAGCGGCCGTTGAGGAGGAGGAGGAGATGGCTGGGGGGCTGCAACCAAGAATAGGCAGTGAATAAAGGGGTAGTGAATGCAGCAGGATTGTAACAATGGATGAACATGGACATAGACATGGACAAGGACATGGACACAGACGAAAATGTGAGTGGATGTGTACATGATGTACATGGATGTGGATGTGGACATGAAAACCCAGGCTGTAGGATGAAAAGGGGACGAGAGCATGGAGTTCTGTCCAGCCTTTCCCCCATCCAGACACCAGTCAGATATGCTCCCAGTCCTGCTCCATCTTTCCCACACTACAATCTCTCAATGTGTTTGTGCGACTGCATCACTCAGCCCCAGCTCTGCCCAGAGAAGTCAGCCTGGTGCCTTCAGTGGAGGAAGCTAAACCGCTTCAGATGGTCTCTGCTGGCCACTCACCTGCACAGATGACACTGGCATCCTCCATGTGCCTGCAGTTGTGCACGCCCCAGCCGTTGTGCCGGCACATCTGCAGGGAGGGCTCGTCCCCGCGGCACTGCACGTCGTCCAGGAAGATGCGGCCGGAGCCCGGGCCAAAGCGAGCATTTTGTGGGGCACCCATGGCCTGGCCACAGCCCAGCTGCTGGCACAGCACCTGAGCATCCCTCATGTCCCACTGGTCGTCACACACCGTGCCCCACGTGCTGCCGTCGTACAGCTCCACGCGGCCCTCGCAGCCGTTCCTGCCGCCCGACAGCCGCACGCTGGGCCCTGACACATGGCACGAGGCATTGGTTTGAGTCCCTCCAACCCAGCATCCACAGTCCCAACTACCTCCCCTACTGTTTGGAGATTTTGCCTCTGTGACTTTGATCTGGGGTGTTGCAGGTCTAGGGAGGTCAGGGAAGGGCAGTGACTGTGCAAAGAACACTGGAATACAGATGGCAGATGTGACCTCCTCTGGCCTTGCTGCCAGTGTCCTGATTGCGATCCCTGGGCACAGAGATGCTCAAGAGCCTGGTTCATGTGCAGAACAGCCCTTTGCTAGCCGTGCATGTGGCCCATTTACTGAGGGGGACAATTATGCAGCCTGGAGATGTCAGGAATAGGGGAACAGCAGCCTTTCACCAACCAGTATCAGCCCTGTTGGACACCCCTTTTCTTATTGTGCCATATTGGGGATGGCTTTAAAATTGGCACTAAACTGGGTGACCTGGACTTACCTGTTGTGAGCAGCCATTGAGGAGGAGGAGATGGCTGGGGGGCTGCAACAAAGAACAGGGAGTAAATAAATGGGCAGCAAATACAGCTGGAGTGTAACAATGGATGGGCATGGACATGGACACGGACAAAGATGTGGATATGGACATGTCCATGGATGTGGATATGGACATGAAAACCCAGGCTGTAGGATGAAAAGGGGATGACAGCATGGAGTTCTGTCCAGCCTTTCCCCCATCCAGACACCACAGTGCTCCCAGTCCTGCTCCTCTTTCCCACACTACAATCTCTCAACGTGTTTTGTGCGACCTCATCACGCAGCCCCAACTCTGCCCAGAGAAGTCAGCCTGCCTGCCTGCAGTGGAGGAAGCCAAACCCCTTCAGATGGTCTCTGCTGGCCACTCACCTGCACAGATGACACTGGCATCCTCCATGTGCCCGCAGTTGTGCACGCCCCAGCCGTTGTGCCGGCACATCTGCAGGGAGGGCTCGTCCCCGCGGCACTGCACGTCGTCCAGGAAGATGCGGCCGGAGCCCGGGCCAAAGCGAGCGTTGCGTGGGGCTCCCATGGCCTGGCCACAGCCCAGCTGCTGGCAGACCACCCGGGCATCCCTCATGTCCCACTGGTCGTCACACACCGTGCCCCACGTGCTGCCGTCGTACAGCTCCACGCGGCCCTCGCAGCCGTTCCTGCCGCCCGACAGCCGCACGCTGGGCCCTGACACACGGCACGGGGACAAGGATGAGCTCACACCAGCCCAGCACTCTGCTCTGCCCACATGGGCCACTGCAACGGGGCTGCTGCCAGGCCAGGCAGGGGGCTGGGGGACTGGAATTACCTGTGGAGTATGGTGCCGATGTGGGGAGTGTGGAAGCTGTGGATGCAAGGAAGAATGTGGTGTCAATGACAAATGTTCTAAACATATCAGCACATGTCATGCAGATGGGTGTCGCTCGTTTTCTAGGAGCCCCTGTCCTGTGATTCCTTCAACGTCTTGCAGAGCTCTTTCAATCGTCTCAAATCACCATCCTCACTTTGCTGTTTCACACAGGAGCCCCATGCACACAGAGACATCTCCTGAATGTCAAAATATTTAAGGGAGCATCTTTCTTTCCTCCATCCACATCCCCAGTGCTAGAGCATGTCTAGGAAATAGTTCTGGTACTACCCGTGCAGGACATAAGGCAGTTAAGGCAGAATGAATTTTTTCTCATGGTTGCAGTGAGAGGCAATCCCTCTGCAGACTTTCATTAAACCAGCAATGGCTGCAGAGTTCCTGGACTCAAAACACAGCTGTCCCCTTTGCTAGCTCTTCCCCATGCTCTGTTTGCATCCTCAGTTTAGTTTTTTAATTAGGTGGCCTAACAGGAGAGGCCCAGGGCTGAGAGACTGCTGCAGTGCAATGAGCTCTGGCAAGGGAGATGAGGAGCAGTGCGGAGGGCAGTGAGTGAGAGTGGACAGGGTTACCTTCTGTGCTGCTCCTTGCTGTGCTAGCCACTGTGCTTGTGGTGGTCAGCAGTGCTGGGCTGGACACCTCAGATGTGGCAGAGGCTGGTGCTGTGGTGGTCATTTCCAGAGGCGTGGGTGTCTCTGTAAGTTGGGGAGGTGATGAGTTCAATGGCAATGGCCATGAAAAGCAGAGCTGGTGGCCTAATGCCAGGAGAGAGGGTGGAGCTCTTTCCTTCCTTTCCCCCATCCTGGCACCAGCCTGACCTGTCCCCAGTCCTGCCCCATCCTCGATAAAGAGCAACCCCTCAATCCACAGCTTTGCCCCATCAGTGGATGCCAACAGCAGGAGTTGTGGAGATGCTGCTGTTCCCTGTCTGTGCAAGAATGGGGATTTTGGATGGCATGGGCTTGAGTCTCAGGCAGCAGAAGAGCCCAGCCTCACCTCTGCCCTGGCCTGACCCCAAACGCTGTTAGAATGAAATGCCAAAGAGCCAGAGTTCCCTGCTGGCCACTGACCTGCACAGATGACACTGGCATCCTCCACGTGGCCGCAGTTGTGCACGCCCCAGCCGTTGTGCCGGCACATCTGCAGGGAGGGCTCGTCCCCGCGGCACTGCACGTCGTCCAGGAAGATGCGGCCGGAGCCCGGGCCAAAGCGAGCATTGCGTGGGGCATCCAGGGCCTGGCCACAGCCCAGCTGCTGGCACAGCACCCGGGCATCCCTCATGTCCCACTGGTCGTCACACACCGTGCCCCACGTGCTGCCGTCGTACAGCTCCACGCGGCCCTCGCAGCCGTTCCTGCCGCCCGACAGCCGCACGCTGGGCCCTGACACACGGCACGGGGACAGGGACAAGGAGAGGTTTACACACCAGCTCTGCACCTGTAGCCCTGAACCTTCCAACTGCTTTTCAGATTTCGTCATAGTGACCATGAGGTGGAGTAGTGCAGAGCCAAAGGGGATTGGGGAGGTTAGTGACTGAGGACAGACTGTAGGCATACACACAGCAGTTCTAGCCCTGTCCAGGGACCTGTTCGTGTGCTGTTTGAGATGTCTGGTTGCAGAAGTCATGGATTCACTGAGGCACTTCCAGAAAAACTATTTACAACCCTTTGGGGGAAACCAACCCTGATGGGGACCCCTTCAAGCACCCTGGAGATGTCATGGGCCAAGGGGGTCAGCTGCATTGCATTGAGCAGGATCAGCACTGTTGGACTCCCCTTTTCTCATCTTGTGCCAGGCTGGGCCTCACTTAGAAACTGGGTATAACCTGGGTGAGCAGGACCTACCTGTTGTGAGTGGCCATTGAGAAGGAGTGGTTGGATTGGCAGCTGCAAAGAAGAAGAGGGAGTGAAAAAAAGTGAGGCTCCATAGTGAGGCTTGTGGCAGTGTATAGACTTGGATGTGGACTTGGTCATGAACATGGACATGAAAATTCAGGCTGTAGGACTAAAGGGGGAGGAGAGCTTGGGTTCTGCCTATCCCCCCATTCCTATACTAGCTGGACCTGTCCCCAGTCCTGTCCCATCCTCCCCAAAGAACAATTTGCCCCCTCCTTTAGCCTCTAAAGCAGGAAGTGTGGAATACCCAGTGTGCCCTCTCTTTGTAGAAACGTGTCTTTTACATCGCACAGGATTCAGCCCCTGGTGGCAGAAGACCCCTGGTGATAGACTGTGCCCTAGCCCTACCAGGGGAGCTCAGCTTGGCTGTTCCCAGAGAACCCAGAACACACTTATGGTGTGTGCAAAAGGCCACTCACCTGCACAGATGACACTGGCATCCTCCATGTGCCCGCAGTTGTGCACGCCCCAGCCGTTGTGCCGGCACATCTGCAGGGAGGGCTCGTCCCCGCGGCACTGCACGTCGTCCAGGAAGATGCGGCCGGAGCCCGGGCCAAAGCGAGCGTTGCGTGGGGCATCCAGGGCCTGGCCACAGCCCAGCTGCTGGCACAGCACCTGGGCATCCCTCATGTCCCACTGGTCGTCACACACCGTGCCCCACGTGCTGCCGTTGTACAGCTCCACGCGGCCCTCGCAGCCGTTCCTGCCGCCCGACAGCCGCACGCTGGGCCCTGACACACGGCACGAGGCACAACATCAGGTTTCCAACATCACAACCCCACCTCCCCAGCTGTTTTGGAGATTTGGCCACAGTGACTTTGATTTGAGGTGGTGCAAATCTAAAGAGACCAAGGAAGGGGAGTGAGAGAGCAAAGACCCCCAGTGCATGGAAGGCTGATGCATAATGAGCAAGGCTAAGCTGTGCTACACAATCTCAACAGTCTTACGTGCTTTTGGACACTGGCAGCATTTTCATACCTCAATTTCCAATCTGAGTTTTAATAATTGAAGGAGTATAACAGTAACACCTTAACACAAAAAGCCGGCAAATTCTGAGAACCCAACTCTTTGTAAGAAATGGGACTACAGCCCTTCTTCAGTGCAGAGTACTGGTGCTGCAGACCAGCATGTATTACAATATGGGGAACCCCATGAGAACAGCCTGGAGGTCCTGGGAGCTGCCGGGGGCATGGGGGCATTTGCTAAAATGCCATTTTTGCACATTAAGATCATGTGACATTCCCCCATACCACTCATACACCTTGCAGGTGTTTGAGGCTATGGGCCCAGGCAGGGCATCCAGAAGGAGATGGCCACCTCTGCTTGATGGCTGAACAGCAACAGCCGTGACCTGGCATCAGGACAGATATCTGTGTCTTGAGCTGGGCTGGCAAGCACATGGACTTGAGGGAAGGGATCGCCCCCATCCTCTTGGTACTTGCCACTCCACTGCCAGGAGCCATGGAGTATCTGGCAGACCAGGACTTGGACTCAGCACCACTGCAGCTGCCGTTCTGCTGAGGCTCAGATCCTCCCTGGCAGAAGCCCTCAAATGACAAAATCCTTTGCCATGGGCAGAAGGGACCAGCAGCATTGCAGTGAGCAGGCTCAGCCCAGCAGCCCCCCTCTCTTCTCCTCTTGTGCTGGGGTGGGGCTCACTATAAAACTGGAAATATGCTGGGTGGGAAGGAATTACCTGTTGTGTACGGCCATTGAGCTGGAGGGGTTGGATTGGCACCTGCAAGGAAAAAGAGGGAGTGAATGAAAGAATACTTAAGGCAGCAAACTCCTGGCAGTGGATGGACACAGACATGGGCATGGACATGGGCATGGACATGGCATGGACATGGCATGGACATGGGCATAGATATGGACATGGACTTGGATATGGACACGGACTTGTAAATGCCAGGCTCAAGGAATAAAGGGATGAAAGGGCATGGAAGTCCTGCCACTGACCTATCCAGACACCAGCCTGACACATGCCCAGTACAGCCCATGCCATGATCCCACCAACCTACTCTTTGCAACCACATGGAACACCTACACCTGTGCAACTGGAGAGCCTGTTCTGACCTCTCTGTGCAAAACTGGGGATTTTGCATAACAAGTATTTCAGCACCAGGCAGCAGAAAACCCCAGGCTCTCCTCTCTTCCCTGGATCTGCAGGGCTGCTTCCCATGGAGGACACCAGAACCCATCCAGTGTGAGCTGCTGGAGAGCTGATGGTCTCTGCTGGCCACTGACCTGCACAGATGACACTGGCATCCTCCACGTGCCTGCAGTTGTGCATGCCCCAACCATTGTGCCGGCACATCTGCAGGGAGGGCTCGTCCCCGCGGCACTGCACGTCATCCAGGAAGATGCGGCCGGAGCCCAGGCCAAAGTGAGCAGTGTCCAGCGCAGCCAGGGGCTCTCCACAGCTCAGCTGCTGACAGACCACCTGGGCATCCCTCATGTCCCACTGGTCGTCACACACCGTGCCCCACGTGCTGCCGTCGTACAGCTCCACGCGGCCCTCGCAGCCGTTCCTGCCGCCCGACAGCCGCACGCTGGGCCCTGACACACGGCACGGGGACAAGGATGAGCTCACACCAGCCCAGCACTCTGCTCTGCCCACATGGGCCACTGCAACGGGGCTGCTGCCAGGCCAGGCAGGGGGCTGGGGGACTGGAATTACCTGTGGAGTATGGTGCCGATGTGGGGAGTGTGGAAGCTGTGGATGCAAGGAAGAATTTGGTGTCAATGACAAAAGTTCCATACAGAGTCATCACAATGTCATGCAGATGAGTGCAGCCCATTTTCTAGGAGCCCCTGTCCTGTGATTCCTACAACATCCTGCAGAGGATCTCTCATCTCTTTCATTCACCCAAAATGACCGTCTTGACTTGGCTGTTTCATGCACTGAACAGTGAGAGTGGACAGGGTTACCTGGTGTGCTCCCTTCCTCTCTTGGAATCCCTGCTGGAGTCATCATCCCTGTTGAGGCAGTTGTGCCTGATGTGGTGGTTGTCTCTGCTGAGGTTGTCATCTGTGCCATGAGGGTTGTTTCCTTTACCTTCTGCTCTATCATGGGCATCCCTGCTAGGGAGGCAATTCTTACAGTGGCCACAGCATTTGGTATGACAGGCAAGGATGGATCATTAATGCTGGTAGACAGAATGAAGGTCTGTCCAGACATTTCCCATAGAGACACCAGCCCAAAGTGCCCTGAGTCCTTCCCCAGCCTCCCAGCTCTGTCACCCCTCTGTCCTGCTCTTTGCCACTTCTCTGAAACCCTATTCCTGCAGGCCAGGACAGTCTGCTGTGCTCTGTGCAAACAGGGCTTTTTCTTGGCACATGCTCAGCTCACCGAGCAACAGAAAGCACCAATCCACCAGTGGGACATGTGCCAGGGGTTAGGATCACCCAGTAAAGAGATCAGGAGCATTAAGGAGACCAATGAGTGAGAGATGACAGGGTTACCTGGTGTGCTCTCCTCTGCTCTCATAGTTGTTTTCTCTGGGGTGCCCAACAATGGTGAGGTTTTCATCCTTGTGACTGTGGTTGTCTCTGGTGAGGGGGACATCTCTGCTGGGGGGGACGTCACTGCTGGGATGGACGTCTCTGGCACGGCACTGGATATCATTGTGGACATCTCCGATGTGGCACTGGATGCCATTGTGCTGGTCATCTCTGCTGCGGTTGACGTCTCTGCAGAGGTGGGCATCACTGATGAGGTGGACATCTCTGCGGAGGTGGGCATCACTGCTGAGGTGGACATCTCTGTGGAGGTGGGCATCATTGTTGAGGTGGACATCTCTGCTGAGGTGGACATCTCTGTGGAGGTGGGCATCATTGTTGAGGTGGACATCTCTGCTGAGGTGGACATCTCTGCTGAGGTGGGCATCTCTGCAGAGGTGGGCATCACTGCTGAGGTGGACATCTCTGTGGAGGTGGGCATCACTGTTGAGGTGGACATCTCTGCGGAGGTGGACGTCTCTGGTGGGCTAGTGGGTGCGCTGGTCGAGTATGTTGGGCTGGATGTTCCTGCTAAGGAGGTCATTAGTGCAATGGCAATGGACACGAAAAGCAGAGCTGGACAAATAATGGGGGAAGAGAGCATGGAACTCTCTCCCATCATTTTGGGAGTCTGTCTGCAGTGCAGTCAGGTCTGGGAAGGAAGTCCAGGGGCACTAAAGGGAACAGTGAGTTACAGTGGACAGGGTTACCTGATGTGCTCTCCTCCACTGTGGTCATATCAGGCAGTGAGTACAGCAGTGGTAGGGCAGAGGATGGCATTTCTGTCTCTGGTAAAGCAGACATCTCTCTCATGGTTGTTTGCCATGGGTTGGGTGTGACTGCTAGGGTTGTCATTGGCACTGTGGTGGCCATGTCCACTAGGAAGGATTCCTCTGCTCTGGGGGATGATTGCACCATGGCCGTTGTCTGCAATGAGCTTGTCTCCTCCTCTGTGTTGGTTGTTAATCCAGTTGTGGCCATCTCCTCTGTGAAGACTGTTGATGCTGTGGAGGTTGTCTCCAGTGCTGTGTATGTTGGTGTTGGCTCTGCTTGTTTTGACTCAGACTCCTCTGTGAAAAAAAAAAGAAGGAGAACACTCCACACATGAGCACTGTGCAATGGGTATGTCTGTGTGGTAGCTACAAGCCCAGATCCTCAAGTATGAAGTGAAATCAAGAGCAATTACTCTGATGGCATGGTCCTTCTTATTTGGGGTCAATGGAGAGAATGGAGGTGTGTAACAGCCAATTTAAAATTTTTATTGGAAGTGGTATTTCCAGATGGTCAGCAGGGTAAGGTTCAGGGGTGGCATTTGCTCCCAGCCCCTGGACTCCACAGCCCAGGCACACTCTGAGACTCCACAGCTCCTAGCATGAAGGGGGAAACTGTGGGACTGCTGGCAGCAGCAGGGCTTGGGCCTGTCCCCATTGTGAATGTCCTTCTGCAGAGGATCAGGGCATCCCCAGGAGCAGTCTGGGCAGTGGTCTTGGGATGGTGCTTGGTGCAAGGGCAGGAGTGGACCAGGCTGAATCATCTGTTGGATACATCCAGCCTGTAGAAGGCACTGGAGCTATGAATGCAGGCAAGAAATAAATGGTATTTAAAAAGGCTCTGTGTGATGTGTTCACAAGTCTGGTAGCAATTTTTATTCTTTTCTTCTAAGTGAAAAACACTGGTGTAGCTAACACTTCCTTCCAGCACGGATTCAGCTCCCCAGGCTCTTACTCTCTAAGGAAATGTGGAAAACTGCAATATTGATACAAAACACCTGAACAGTCTGTTGTCTTCAGCAATGCTTGGTTCATGATGATCAGTTGTTAATACATGAGAAAATAAGATACAAATAAATTCTCCTAAAAAATAATGGGAAAGTAAAATGAACACAGCAAGGTGAAAGAGTACTCAAAATGGATGGATATTTGCAAAGGAAAAAGGCATTAATGGACCTAAATGAAGGAAGACTTGAAAAATATGGAAACAATCCAAAGTGAATTGTGAGCTATGACAGTCTGAGCTGTGATTGTGAAGTTATTATTGCCCATAAGAAATCCATTAAGAATTCACCTAACTCCATTCTTCCCTGATAAACATTGCTTATCAGAGATAGCTTTGTCACTGATTTTGAACTGTTTCCTTATTGCCACTGCCAGGGGATTAGATGGAACAATTGTCCTGCATATCTGCAATGTATATCTGATCCTTGGGGTTTTTAATTGCTTTGCATGGATGAGCAAGCACAATTTTTACATAACGAGTAAACTACAAATCTGTAGGGGGATAGAATATAAGAAAATAAAAATAGTGTAGAAAGTAATCTTACCCCTCAGGAGTTGCAGCTGGGCCAATTATCAAAGATTAGGAACAAGCCTGATTTTAACAGGCCACAGCTGTAACCAATGAGAAGAAGATGCTATAAAAGAGTGGGGTGGCTGGTTGAGAGGGGAACTGGAGTCAGTTGGTTGCTTTGTGAAGAAGAAAGAGTCAGTGCTCTGAGGAGATGCCCATGAGAAACACCCAGAAGTTGTGGAGCTTTTGTGATAGGAGACAACAGTATGGAACCCCTGCAATAAGATGACAACACAAATCTGTGCTGGTTCTGCCGGGTCAGTGGAATGAAAGGACAGGATTTGGGGCAGGAGGAAAAGTGTGGGAGTACCTGAACAGACAACAGAAGCATCTTCATAGTGGGCACAGTTGTGGATCCTCCACCCCGTGTGGTTGCAGCGCAGCAAGGACGCCTCATTTCCTCTGCACCTCACGTTGTCCAGCACAATATCACCTGAGCCCTGCCCAAAGTAGGCACTTCCCAGAGCTGCGATGGCCCTGCCACAGCCCAGCTGCCTGCACACAACCTGGGCGTCAGCGAGGTCCCAGAAGTCATCGCACACTGTCCCCGACCGTCCCCGGTAGTAGATCTCAACACGGCCTTCACACCGGTGCCTTCCGTTCACCAGATGGACGTAGGGAGCTTTGGGAGAGAGGGCATGGGCACAAAACAGTCAGGGAAATAGGCTGGAAGGGACTAGAAGGGGCATCTATTCTGCCTTCTCCCCTTGTTGTCCCTAGAAGACGTTGCCCAGTCCATGATTAAGTGCCTGTGAGGACAGAGGTGATTTGTTCCTTTTTTATTCCTCTCTTCCAGTTCTTAAAATCAGCCACGTGGTTTTATGCAAGATCCCTGCAGTAAAGTTAGGCAGCAGGCTAAGCGCAAGGGGTTTAAGCAAGAAAAGAAATTTTTGGAGCAAGATTAAGGACTGAGAGTCCATACATCACCAAATCCTATAGCTTATAAGAGTAACTTTAGTGGAAGAATTCCACCAAATGTTCTACAGAATGGATGATGGTTTCAACAGTATTATAAAGATTTCAATAGGAGTTCAGTGGCTTTATTTCTTATACACCATTAAAATTTATTACATTTTGAAATAAAGAAATAACCTATCCTGTATGCAGCTGATTACTGCATTCATTCAGGTAAAGCCCATCTGCTTTTCAGTTTTATGTCTTGTTTAGACATTGTGGTGTGATCAGTATGAAAATCCTGATTTTAGAGATCCATTTTTGATGAAGAAGTTTATTAAAGACTTTGCTATCAAGTGTAAGCAAGCAAATAAATGTTTTAACTTTGGATTTGCAGTATTTACACTCTGGAAATCAAAACATGCAGCTGCACTTGTTATATTTTACATTGCTGCCAAGTATATATTTACCTTATTATTAAACACTAAGTCATCCAAAGCAAAACAAATTTCAAAAGTTAACACCTCCAGGATTTCTTCACTGCACCCAATTCTTTGCTGTTGATCCAGAAGTACAGTCAAGATGGTGACCAAACTTAATTTGCCCTGATTTGTATGACTTTCAAAGGGCAAAGCTATAAAAGTGCCCCTTGACTTATATGTGACTTGTTCCTTCAAATATCTACTTGAGCATGCACATTTTTGAACCCTACTCACAGGGTTTTTGAGAGGTGAAACAGCAAACCTGGCAAAAAGTCAGAGTGGGATTAGGAAATTAAGCCAATTTAAGCCAGTTTTATTTGCTTTCATTCAAGAGCTGTCATCACTGTGAGAGCATAACCATCAGCTGGGGATGAAATTGGATAGGCTGAATCCTCCCTCACACTTCAAAGGTATCAAAAAGACAAAAGGCCTGTGATTATACAAATATAGCAAATACTCTGTTCAGGGACACAGAGGCAGAGAGCAGAACCAGAGCAGCCAGAGTGAGATGAGTTACCACCAGAAAAGCAGGAGGCAGAGGGAGAGAATTGATGGGGTGAATGGTGGCAATATAAATTATCATCACGAAGCTTAAATAACTCATTAGAAAAGTCATCAGCAATTATTCTAAGATATACACAGAACTATTAACTCAAAGTCACCCAAACCACTCAGGAGATAGAGAGTAATCATAGCAGGAAAAATTCTATGATCATAAAAAAAGTTGAACTAAAAGTATTTAATCTCTCATAATTTTTAGATGTCCATCATTTAACCACAGTGCTAGAGTGTGAAAATCTAACTTCATGTTATATTTTGCTAAATTGTACATAATACCCAGAAGAACCAAATGATACAAGTAATATTAAATATATAGCATATGTGCACGCACATATACTCTGGAATAACATACACATGGAAAATATGTAAAGAAACAAATCTTTCCATGGTTTTGAGATCAGATTTTTGGAACTGGAAGAATACCTCATTCATGACATACTCACAGACACAATTCTTGCAATGATACAAGGCACTAAGATGAGTAGGACCCTGTGGCAGCAAAATGAACTCCACAAAATGGTTCCAATCATCTTTATCATCCACTCTGATGATTAGTTCATCATTTTAGTAGAACAAAACTCTGCTCTTTCATCCAATTCCCAATCTTTTGCCCAAACCAATACCAGCCTGAATTTAATTTCTGCTCTTGAAACCAACCAAGAGGACTCCAAGAAGTCTTTATAATTTTTTTTTATGTGCCCTGGAACAAGTCTTAAGTCTTTTACCTGTTTTGGCCTCCAGAACTGCTGGACCCAGCAAGAGAAGCCATGTCAAAACCATGGGGGTACCCATCTCACCAGGTGCTGTTGGTAAAGAGGACCTCACAATATATACTCTCTATTTCTGAAGGGGAGTGGCTCTCCAGGTCTCTTTTTCTTCAGAAGAACAATAAAACAACCACAGCCCTCTAATCTGAAACAAACATGTGTTTGATTTGTTATTTAATATTTTGTAACTTCCTGGGTTTTGCAAAAAGACAATATCTCAAGAGTAACATTTTCCATTGCCTGGAAGGAAGTATTTATGCTACCATAGGTTTCACAATCATCTCATTGAGCTCGTGTCCAAAGATACCTTTCAGTTCTGGCTGATGCATCTCAGCATTTTTCTTTCATGAGGAGGTTCCTGGTCAGGTATTGGGTTGGTAGTAGAATCTTGAAACTTAAATGGGTTTCTTGCAGCAAAATAGCAAGAGACCTTTGCCAGTTGATGTGGCAGGTCTTCTTGGGGAGCCAGAAATGTCCTCAAGCTTCAGCAGACTTTAAAGAAAATAAGATCAGACCTGGTGGCCCTGTTTAAGTATAACTGGGGGGTCTCTGAAGAACCTTGCAGCTGAAGCCAACAGCTCCAGCCCCAGTACAAACCAATTATTTTTGGGGCATGTTAAAGTACAAGCCAAAATTCCAAAAAACTCACTGTCAGACAGATTGCAAGGAAATGTCAGAGAATCAGGGTCAACTGATAACTTTTTGTGCAAACACTGTGGAAAAAAATCAGTGGATTTCATGCATAGTGAAGGAAATTACATAGATTGAAACTAATTTTGTTCTAAAATTTCATTTGATCCTTTGAACCAACAAATTGGAGGAAAAAAAGTCCTGATTTCTTCAGATAAAGAAAGTGTCTTAATATATTCCTTGTTTAATTTTACACAGTGACAATAACAATAACAGCTGTATTATTCTTTGAAGAATGAATCCAAGGTTTTTCTACAATATGAAATAATGCTTAATTCTCATTCATAACTCTCTTGCCAGAGTGGTTATTTTCCTCTGTTTCTGTGTTTCTAACAATTTAACAAGAAAATCTGATGATCGTCCTAACACTGAAGAGTCAGAACACTGTTCTCCATCTCATCCTCCCTACCTCCACAGCCATCATGTCTTGCATGGAATTATCACCAGTTAAAATTGTTGCCACATATGAATTCATTGCCTCCAGGGACAGCCATCAAGCAGGAAGACCAAAGCCCAGGGGGAAAAGAGAATGATCTAAAACATCTTTCCACACAGGCCAATATCATTGGAATGGAAGAAGGAAGTGAAAAATATAAGAGGCCAAAGATAACTTTGGAAGCCTTGAAAGTGAACATTCAGAATGGTAAATATGTTTCTTCTTTATCCAAACAACCACATTTGCACATGAATGAGGATATGTACACAACACCTGGTATTCACTATTCATATTCTGGTTTTGACACCCTGACAAGAATGAAAAATCCAGTTTATTTGAGTGGCCAATCAAACACTGCAATCAGTGAAACAAGAATGAGTGATGGGTCACAGTTCTTCTCCAAACCCTTGTAATAACTGAAAAAGGGTAAGGAGGAAGGGGAACACAAAAGGAATTCCCAGGTGGTTCAAGTGCCAAAAAAAAGTCTTAAGCTGCCCAGGTAAAAGATCAATATTGGTTGTTTGATTAGTTCTTCACTACCTTCTTCATAAATAAATTAGTCATTTCAAAAATCAAGATATTTCTAGAGATCTTTATTATCAGACAATCTCTGCACAATGGAAATGGATAAATAATTTGTTTTAATTAACCTTAGTTAGTGAGTGCAAATACCATACAGTATTTCACCATTCCCCCTGGCTAGATAAATCTCTTGCAATAACACATTTTTGTTCTCAAGGTCTTCTTCTGGCAGCTTGAGGTATTTCCCAGCACATCACTCTGAGTGTGCTCTACACTGAGTCTTGAAAACACCATTTCTTCTGCTGACAGTTGTGAGGGCACTTTGCAAACATACTGGGTTTTTAAAGGTAAAAACGGGAACCAGTGGAAGGACAAACAAGATTATTCAGCTTTCACCCATGAATATAGGAAATTATCTGCACTGGAAAAAGGATATCCAAAGCCTTCTCCACAAAGGAGTGATAGTCTGAATCCAGGCAGGAAGGTTTGTGGCAGAGAGATCATTTCCCAATCTCATGACCCTTTCCTCATCATCAAACCCAGTTTTCTTGAATCCTGCATTTCTATAATGCTTGTGGATCAAGGGAGATAGCAAGAAATGAGGAGGAATCTGAAACATCTACCACCTGAGCAGTTTAGCAACACTTTCTGCAGCAATATTTAATATGAAAACCGGTGAACTTGGTAATTCTACCTTGTATTTTATCCAGCCTTGGTATTTCTCCATCTGGGAGCCCTGGCACAGATATGCTATGGGAAAACTCAGCTCTGAACAGCACAGGGATGGTGAAGATTGGGACACCAGGATCTAGGCCTGGGGTCTTTCTGCTTGTCTGTGAAAATAATATTGAGAGAATAGAAGTGTAAAAACCACCATCAAGATGTACCCTGCCAGATGGTGTGGTAGCAACAGCACAGCTGCAGGGACAGGGAAAGGGGAATACAGCAGGTCTGGGAAGAGCACAGGGGAAGGTTCTGTTCTACAGAATTAGGAAAGCCCAGGTTCAGGAGAGTCCCTGCTGTGCTGAGCAGAAGGCTGCATTCCTGTGAGCCCAGACAGTCTCTGGTCCAGAGAGCAGGTGAAGGCAGCTCAGCCTTCTGAGGTGCTCTGCCCTCCAAAGGTGGCTGCAGGCAGAGTGGGGAGGAGGACCCTAAATCCTTGTTCCTCAAGCATGGAAAAAACCCTCTCACTTTCTGTGTGCAGTGCCAGCCCCTACCTGTGTGTGATCCCTTCTTTACATCACAGAGAGGTGGTGAGAGCCCTGCCTGGAACCATGAGGAGAAGGCA